CACCTCCACTCTCAAAGAACATCAGGTGAACATTTCAGAGAGCCCACACCACTGCAGCAGTTAAGAGGGCCCAGCAGCGAAGCACCCTCAGGAAGTGTAGTCGCTGCTGGGCCCTCTTAACTGCTGCAGTGGTGTGGGCTCTCTGAAATGTTCACCTGATGTTCTTTGAGAGTGGAGGTGGTATGGAACTGGTAGTTTGCAGGGACAGGGGCAGGGTAGAAAAGTGGGGGGGTCTGCTAGCCTCAAAGCGGGCAAAGAAGTGGTTTAGTTCCTCTGCAAGGTGGGCGTCAGCTCTAGTAGTGCCAGATGTTTTGCCCTTATAGTTGGTTAGCTGGTGAAGGCCCTGCCAAACGCACTGTGTGTTGTTATGAGCGAGATTCTCCTCCACTTTTCCCTTGTAGTCCTCCTTTGCAGCCTTGATGCCTCTCCTCAGATTCGCCCTTGCCATGCTGTACTGGGCTGCGTCCCCCGACGTGAAGGCTGTGTCACGGGAACTCAGGAGAGACCGCACCACTCTTGTCATCCATGGTTTTTGGTTTGGGTAGACCCGAATGCGTTTTTCCACAGTTACAGTGTCTGTGCAGAACTTGATGTAGGATAGCCTCTGTGTGTTCCTCCAAGTCTGCCTGTTCAAATATGTCCCATGCTGTGTGTTCGAAGCAGTCTTGCAGTTGTGAGAGTGCCCCCTCGGGCCAGGTTCTGATATATTTGACCACCGGCTTGGTGTTACTTCTGAGGGGGGTGTAAGCTGGGATGAGAAGCAGTGAGAGGTGGTCAGATAGTCCTAAATGGGGGAGTGGTACCGCTCTGTAGGAATGCTTCAGGTTGAGAATACACTCGGTCCAGTGTATTCTTTCCTCTGGTGGTACATCGTACATATTGTACAAATTTGGGAAGCACATTTTTTAGACATGCATGATTAAAGTCTCCAGCTACAATATGAACTCCGTCGGGGTGGACCAACGAGTTATCCTGAAATGGCAATGGTAGATTAAGCATCAACTGTGACAATGTCAAATACATTGATACACCAGACTGACATCCAAGAACTAGCAGCACCAGTGGCAGACTGATGTATCGCCTTCTTCTTGGCCAAATAATTTATCTTAAACACACCACAACAACATGTTTTCTTATCAGAAAAATATAAGTTTAGAGGGTTAGAAACTGTAAGACCATCACAGTATGCTTTTGAATTAATGTTTCCCACTTGGGCCATTTAGGGTTTCCTACTAAACTCACAGTACTGGCTGCTTTTGTGGTCTAGCTACTGTCCTGTGGCCAGTTTCAGCCAGCTGATTGATTTCTGTTGAGCGTGTTGAACTGGAACAGTATTAGAAAATGACTTGCTGCTGTGGTGGAGCATTCCCAGAAATGTTTAACTCGAGCTGTACATTTTTGTATGCTGGCAAATGAAGAAATAGGTGATATTGTTTTATTTTTCACTCTTAATTCTTAGCTTGTCAGCAGTTTGATCAGTACACAAAAAAAGGTGCATAATGGTGCAACTTAAAGCTTTGTATTTACATCAATATGGTTGTTGTTGTTTGGTCATCTAGGGAACCCAGAAAAGAACTTTAGGCGTCCCGGTGACGGTGGTCTCCAGCAACTCAGAGTCTGACTCAAGCGAGTCTGAATCAAATTCTGAGTCCGAGTCATCTGATGATCTGGAGACCTGGATGATCCTGGGTCCAGGGAACCAGGACGGAGACCAGAGCATCTCACTTAACCTGGAGGGAGGGTCTGACAGCAGCGCAGGTATGTCTTTTGTTTATAGGTTACCTCCTCTATGTGTTTGTACTGGGTGTTTTGTGCATTGTTCAGACTTTATTGAAATGATTTTTGTGCGTTTGAATATGTAGAGAATGGAAGCAGTGAGTCTTTTTGTTCGGTCCAGCTCATTCCTAACACTACCTGCAGCACATTGATAAGGAGTGGGCACAGCAATGGGTTACACTGTGTGTGTGTGTGTGTGTGTGTGTGTGTGTGTGTGTGTGTGTGTGTGTGTGTGTGTGTGTGTGTGTGTGTGTGTGTGTGTGTGTGTGTGTGTAGCATCTGTGCCTGCATTCCTTACGAGTTTGTAAGCTCTTAGCATTCCTGGCACTGTCTGCCCAGTTGCTCGTTTCTCTGATGCATCTTTAAGTATGNTTGCTCTTTCCAGCGCTGTTTTTGCAGGGGGCTGATTCTGTGAGCTGCAGCTGACCACGCCCCCCTGCAGGAGAGATCAGCTGCTGGGCTGTCAGAAGAGGGGGAGAAAAAGAGATCTCCGTCCTCCGTGTTTTATTCTTATAGAAGTAAGAAGAGAAGTAATGGGGCTGAAACCCTCCTTTTTACGCAGCGGTCCAGACATAGACGTCAAACGGCGACACATATTCAGTTGCCAGTTACTTTGGCATTAGGGCAGGGATATCNNNNACTGTGTGTGTGTGTGTGTGTGTGTGTGTGTGTGTGTGTGTGTGTGTGTGTGTGTGTGTGTGTGTGTGTAGCATCTGTGCCTGCATTCCTTACGAGTTTGTAAGCTCTTAGCATTCCTGGCACTGTCTGCCCAGTTGCTCGTTTCTCTGATGCATCTTTAAGTATGTTTATGTGCATTATGTATTGATATGTGCGTGAGGGCTTGTGCAAGTTTGAATATTTGTGTTTTTATAAAATATTCCAGTTCTAATCAGCATGCATGTGTACATACACGGATACCAACAGTCATAACGCTAATGCCAAAAACAAACAAGCGGAGAGACAACAACGCAGGAGGAGAGGTCGGGAGAGATGGGAGTAATCAAAAAATGAATAAAAATGTTCCTCGCAAATCTCCTCAGATCTACACATTATCTTAACCTGCAGTCTCAGCAACCTCTCTGGCTCCCCCTTTTTTCTCCCTCCTACCTAACTCTCTCCCATCTCATTCTTTTATCTTATTTTCCCACTATTGTGCTCCCACTCTGCCTCTCTCTGTGTCTCTCTCACTGTTTCATTCTCATTTGAATTTCCCTGGGCTGATGTTTCTGCAAGAGTGCTCACTGCCTCTTCTACACACAACTGGGCTAAAGGGGGGGGGGGTTCTGGAGCTGGTGGGAAGGCTTGAGGTTTTGGCCTGCTTTTGGAAGGAAAGGAGGATTTTAGGTCTCTGTTTCTCTCTCTTTCATTCTCTCTCTCTCTCATCTGGCGTCTCTCTGTGATCTTTGGAGCTTGACCTCATGTCTGCACATGGGGGGTCATGGGTGTGATGTTGAAGGGGCCTTAAAGTGGGAGGAATGGGGGAGGGTTTATAAAAAAGAAAAAAAGGAATTGAAGGCAGAAAGAGTTGAGGGACGAGCCTCAATAGTCTTGAGCTGCAAGATAATTTGATTCTACATAGTGATCCCTTAGCAGCCGTTGAGTGTGTTGCTTGTGTTCACACTTGAAAAGGGGCAAAAATGTGGAAAAAGATAATTCAATAAATACAAGTATGATATTTTTTTGCCATGAACCCGACAAAGACACCAAAATCAACTATGAATTGATCCCAACAAGTATTTTCTGATTTGGCTAATTGCCCCATTGTTGTCTACAAACTATTCAGAACGCATCAATGAGGAACACTGTTGCCTGGGTGACATACTCATTCATTACGATGAACATGTGCACTTTAGTTTATCAACAGTCAGTACTGCTGCTGTAAACACCCCACGTGCACCAAATGTTTATAAAATAAATCCACAGCTTAAAATAGTCCCCATCAAATGAACTATTACTGTACTTCTGATAGTCACATGACACCAAGGCGCACCAACATGGTCAAACTGCGCTTAATGGCAAACTGACAATGTGGATTTGTATCTTTTCATGCAATTTATTAACAATACCAAAAGTATAAACATTGTCGGCTAGGGTTTATTTGAGTGTTTTTATAGCATTAATAATAATAATAAATTGATTGAAAATCTGTGGGCATCACCTCTTATAAGCAAATTTCTTTGGGGAAACCCTTCAACTTTGTTCTCTTATTAACTAAAAACTTCATGCAAGATATCATATATTTAGTTTGCTGTTGTTGTAGACTATTTTGTCCCACAATGGATTGCACAAGGGAAAGAAATAAGTGATGACAAAATAAGAAGATAAAGGAAAATAATAATCCCCAACAAATATTTTTCGCTATCAAGGATAACCGGCTGTGGAGTTTAAAGCTTAAACAATTGGCCAATAAGTTGATTAATCGAATGTTAAACAAATATTTTTGGTTTAAACAAATAAAATCCCCAAGATATCCCAATGATTTTATAGTAACAGCTCTTCAAATGTGAGAATTCGCTGCTTGATTCTTTTTAATATCATTGTAAATTAAAGATCTTTGGGTTTGGAGTATCGACTGACACAAATACAAGACCCTTATATATTTGATCCTTCTGTAGACTGATTGATAAATCAAGATAATAATTGTTTGCAAATTGCAGTTTAGTTGGCACGTGTATCATCTTCTCATGGTAGGAAATGGTAAAGTATATCTATTTAAAGTGGACTTAAGGATGAAAGCAGTATAGGATGAACATTTGTAAGCAGTACAAACGGTGATATACTTTTGATTATTCGCCCATTGTTTCTGCATAGCTGGTGTAGGTTAATAAGTTCTTATTTTCTTGTTCGAGAGAATATGTTTCACATGCCCTTTTTATTTTCTGAAGAAATGCATCGATACAATCAGCCTTAGGTAGATTTCTTATCACTGTAATAACCTTTATATTTATAACCGAGGGCTGTTGGAAAAATAAACAATTGATTTCTGGTTTTATGTGCCATGCTATGTTGTGTGTTGACTCCTGTAGCCCGGGAGCCCAGCTAGTTTTTCATATTTGTGCGAGTGTGTGAGTAACAGGTTTGCACAGCAGTGACTAATAGTATTTGTACGCCTAAACCCCATCTCAGCATCACCATCAAATCACATTCACTACACTTAGTCTCCCCCTCTCACCCTACAGAAATTGAATCCTTTCATCCTCTTTCTCATTCTGACTCCCTCCTACACGGTGTCACTTGTTCACATACTTTTACAATCTAATCTTTTTTCACTCCATCACATATGTTTTTTTATCAAATACATGGACACACATACACGCCGATGCACACTCAGCCTCAGGAGCTATCTGTCGACTGGCTGTACAGGGGCAGCTGTTGGTGGGTGGATCTGTAGGGACAGTGGATAAGGGAAAGAGAAAAGATAGAGAAAAGGGGGATGAGCGAGGGCCGTCTGCCTGTCCGGCAGCCATGCAGCAGCAATCAGATGGAACAACAGAGAAAAAGCAGGGCTTCCCAAAATCCAGCTCAGTGCCTCTCCCACCCGGAGAGGTGTGCGTGTACATGTCCGTGAATGAATCCGGGGTGTAGGCGGGGTGTGCTGAAGCTAAACTTGAATCGTAAGTGGTTAAACTTCACTCAGTGGTCACACTTTTTTTTTTCTTCTTTCTCTGTTGCTCCCCCCAGTTCTCTCATTCACTTTTTTGTCCCCTCGGTCTTGGTCAGTGCACACCAAACTTTGTTTGAGGCTTAGAGAGCAGCTCTGGCTTGCTATCGGGGTGGCCGATCACATCAGAGTGTGTGTTGATGTGTGAGTGTGCTTCAATGAAAGTCGTGGTGAATTAGAGAGAAAGGAGTGTGTTTTTATGTTTGTACCCAAAGGTTAACTCACAGAATAAGAAGGTAAGCTCATTTCCTCTCCTCTCCCTTCCTTAATCTTGGTTTTCTCTCTTCTGTGTTGTTCTTTACAGTTTTATCATGCAGTCTAGATTGCCTAGGTATAAAACAAATTTTTTACCGCCTTAAATATGTGTGTGTTAAAAGCAGTATACTACTGCTTTTAACACACACATATTTAAGGCGTGTGTTCACTCTGAACCTTCATATGTGTGTGAATGAGTAATGCTGCTTGGGGCCTGAAGCTTTTTCCCGTAGCTTCCTGCACTCAGAGACCTCAGTTGGCCTCTGTATACGTTGAAGTGTGTTTAATGCTAACTCACATGCCAGTGTACTGTACAAGGAAAATATGGATTTAGCTTGCTTCTGTGTGTTTTGTGGTTGTGGGCATTGGGATTGTAAAATTAGATTACAATGGCCTGTTGAGTACCACACTGTGTGTGTGTGTGTGTGTGTGTGTGTGTGTGTGTGTGTGTGTGTGTGTGTGTGTGTGTGTGTGTGTGTGTGTGTGTGTGTGTGTGTGTGTGTGTGTGTGTGTGTGTATGAGAAACAGTGTGTGTGTCCGTGTGAGATAGAGAGTGTGTGTGTGTGTGTGTGTGTGTGTGTGTGTTATAGGTGGGTGTGTGTGTTGTGGGTGGGCGGGTGCTGCAGAAGGGAGGCATGGATAGGATCAGCTCTTATCTTGGCTGCCCAGTGCCACACGAGGTGTAACGCCACACCCACACTACCACACAGTGTGTTTGAACAGGCGCACACACACACACACACACATAAAATCGCTGTGCCATAGTTGGACTTGTATTATCCAGTTTTGACAGAGGATATGCAAATTAGATGAGACTACTGTGTAGGCCTAATATTAGCGCATGCAAAAATAAATTGTAGAAATTCAGTTGAAAGCCTGATGCTTTCATTTTAAAAATTGCATTTGATTGAACAATCATTTGATGCTGGCAGCCCCAGAAATGTAATGACGACAGTAATCTGTAAAATTAAAACGGCAGTTTCTTTGTAATATTGAAAATCCCCATAGTCAGCGGTCGTGTCCATTATCATGTTGAGAGTGAGGTTTACTTATATTAGTCAAAAAT